TGCTAGATTAATATCAAGTTTGCTATGTTAATCTCGAGTTTGCTCAACCGCCTAACTACAAACTGTATAATTTTTTTTTTTTTTTTTTAATCAAGAACCTCAAATTGCACTCCATTTTTTTCTCACTGAACTCTAAATTCAATTATCTTTCAAATGATATATTTTTTGTCGTCTGAAGATCTATGTAACCTTTGTGCTCTAATTTTCAACGTGCTCTGCAAGTTCCTTATTTTGCTTCTTTTATTCCCTTTATTTATACCCAAATTTCCTTCTTCTTTTTTTTTTGTAGGAATCATATTTAAATCAGACATGTTATGCTTACCGAAAATGGTTGACATGCAACCTGACTGAACACTCACAATAGGGGGGATGACCCACTTTTTTTGGAATTTTTTATTCACGTGGGGCCCGCACGCATATGAGAGATTGTGAACACCCATGTCACCCATTTTTCTATACAAATGGAAAAACCCTATTTAAATTTGGGGTTTAACATATAAAAATAATATATATACGGTATATTATGTAGAAATTCGCTCAATTTGCTACAAATTTCAAGATTATACATTTTAAATTTCTATGAAATTACAGATTTTACAGCACTTCGAGATTTTCTATATTTTGAATTTAAAATGTCTATCTAAAATAAAGCCCCTAGTTCGGAATATCCGTATGACTCAAGCAAGGTTCTAAGAATTTCGGTGATGGAAAATTCGGTGTTTTTTTGTAATTAGAGTGTGTTTATGACACATTCTTTTGAAAAAATGTATTATTAAATAGTAAATTAATGGAGAATGTGTGGTTAAAAATGAAGGAAAAGTTATTGGTGTGATGGAAAATATTATTTTATTGAAAAATGTGTGGTTGAAAATGAGTAGAAGAATGAGAATGAAAAAAATAATGTGTACCAAACAGGGCCTTAGTATTATCCATTGATTAATACGATGTACCGCTTATAAAGCTTATCTTAGAAGATATTTGTTTGATCTCGAGATATATGTTGTACTACATAATCTTAGCCATACAAAGAGTACGACCATTTTTCAACAATGGTATTTTCATAACCCATAAAAGCTCAAGAATGTGGTCTTGAAGATTGAGGTCACGAGCTGCGGTCTAAACTAATCGACCTAAGTTTTTTCGCTATATTTGAACTTAAACTCGTTAGCTGTATGTATATATTCAGTGAAAACTATATTATATTGCTATGTGATGCTTGCCACTTACCATGTTTGAAAATCATATAATGCCACTAAAAGGACATGTTGTACGAGATTCACCAGCATAAACTTCCTATGTCACACCACATGTAAGAATTGTTAATTTAAGCCTTTTGGATTACATCTCTTGACATTAATCATTAATTCTCAGATCCATTTCTGTTTTTTTCAACTATTTTAATTCCAATTCAAAATTTGATACAAGACATCAATGTCAAGCCGTCATTGTAACTAAATTTTTATTAAAAGGGAATAACATCGCTATAATTAGCAAATTAAGTCCAAAATCACATTGATTAAGTGGACTTAAAGTTCGTTTATAAAGTTTTGATTTGCCAAATTATGAACGATTTACATCACTAACTAACACACCCTCGGTAAATTAATTTAATTTTCTCGATGTTGTGAAATAAATCATCAGATTGAGACGTTGAAGTTATATGACAAATAATAATGAAGTATATGATCAAGTAAAAGAATAATAAAGACAAGAATATAACAGATGAATTAAGAGATTTTATTGACTCAAGAATAATGGTGAAGAGAGAAAAATTACAATAGATCCTATATTTCTAGTAATCTATTTTTCTTACACCATAAAATTGTATATAATAACCTAGTATTTATAGAGAACATGTAACAGATGTCCAAACCATCCTAGTAGAGTTGTTGATGAAATATCATATAAAAAAATCGAGTCCAAAATAAATTACAACTCCTAATGAACTTCCAAAATAAAATTTCAACTTGACATAGAACTCAAATAGCATTTCAAATTGAATTCTTCTTAATGTGTATTTCAATCAGAATTTTTCAATTATTTCAATAAAGAATTCGAGTCACATCCAAATTCTAACACTCGACTACATGGACACTCTTTTTCGTAATAGACCCCAACACTGGTTCCCTCTCTACCTAACCATGTCGTATATCTTGATACGATGTTCTAGACATTATCCATAGATGTTAACATCGTAAAGACTGTACCCACCGGAACTGTAAAGTGAAAATTTTGAATTGTCCTTTCAAAAGTAATTTAAATTGTAAACCCATTTGAATTGTCGTCTTAGAATGTTCCATTAAATACGGTACAGTTCAGGTACAAATCACGTTTGTACAATAAATAAATCCAGCTTTTATGTTTCGTAACATATAGATAAAAAACAACAAAATATAAATAAAAAAGACACTGTAGACATTTAAAGGAGAATCTTAGGAAATAGATTACTTGATTTTAATATGACTAGACGTGACAGATGGTCATGGGATCCATCACAATAAATAATTTTTCACAACCAAATTATTTAGCTGCTTAATGAACTTGAATTTTTAGTTGGAAAATGAAAAATGTGTTAATTATTAATTTTGAGTTCAACTATGCGGGTTTTTATTTATTTATTTATTTTTTTTCACGACTGCTATACATTACACGGTAGCCGTTGAAACAAAAAAATACGTTGATTTTTGTTAGGAATATTGGGCCTAACTCCACCAAATAAAACCGGCTTATTAGGGGGGGATTGTCCTCACCTTATTAAGTGGATTATTTATATTTTCCCAAGTAATGTGGGATTCTAATAATTTTGACTGATAATATATTTCGAGGTTTTACTTATATTTGATTGATGTTTAAAATTTAATTAATTCCGTGTACGATTTTTGCTAAAAAAAAATTGATAATAATTAATGAAATATATGATTGAAAAATTGTGAACGTCACGTTTCATGTGTAATGAAAAATGAATTAGATCAAAGTAAGTTTTTTTCTCAAGACTTATTGGCCCTTCTTAGGACCACAATTTCCATTTGATGAATAAAGTCATTGACCAATGAACATGCAGGTGGGGTCCTCTAGTCATCAATGTTGGATTTTATTAAAAGAGGGTTAAACTTTTCAAACTTGATTAGTATTTTAGTTGTCAAATTAAATTACCTAACCCTCCTAGAAGTTGTCCATGCTTTCTTAATACAATCTTAATGGATGATGCCACTAAAATCAATCACTTTATGTATTAAAGTTAGAGATTAACAATTAATAATTGTGTAAACATGATAAAGCTCACTCTATACATAGATTTTTTTTATTGTTAATTTAAAGCCGTATGAATTACTTCGTTCTAGATTTCAAAATTCCTCTAGTTCTTTGAATTTATGCATTCTCGTTAGTACAAGTTCTATAATGAGGCATTAATTGCACGTGTCTCTAGCGACGCTTCATTTGAAACTCTAATTTATGCTTCCTGCTCTTATTGTATACTCTAGTGTGAAATATTACATATGCAATTACAACTTGAAACCTAGCAACGTTGAATAACATGTCGACAAAAATTTAGATCATTAGAGATGACGATGAATTGAAAAAGTGAAAAAAAAAAAATTCATCTAGCAGACTTTCACAAATTAACAAATACAAACTTATATTTATGCATAAACATCTATCACATTAGCTTTTTGGGCATTAAGGAGGTGTGTTACGGTGGTTGGCCTTGTGTTCCTTGGCATTAAAATTGCTTTATCTTCAAACTTTGCTATCCACCACAAAAAAAATACTAAGACTAAACACCAAAAAGATAACCAAAAAATAAATAAAAAAAGGACAAATGAGAAATCAATAATGGAGAAGGGGACCCACCCGCACCCCCACCTCCTATGCTACTACTCCATAGCAATAGCAGAAATGTCCATGATCATCTTCTCTCTTTTCTATCTTTATAATATATAATTATATATACATAAATCTTTAGTGGGAAGGGGACGTTTCCTCGTTTTCAGCTGGACATACACAGTTGATAATAGCTTTTTTCTTATATCAAACACACACACACACAACTTTCTCTCTCTGAAAAAGTTGTTTATAGTTCATTGCAGTAGTCCTGCTTGCATCAAATGATTTGAAACGAGGGTCAAATCAATGACGTTCCTGTGTTTGATCAATTCGCAGGCACTTCACTCAAAATCCACACATAACATATATATTTCAAATATATATATATATGAATCATCAAGAACATATACATGTATATATTCTTGAATTATTCTTATTCTAATTGAAAGGAAAATAAGAGATAAACGTGTGGATAAAGAAGGGTAACTTTTTCACTGCCTTTTCAGCTTCATCTCGAGCTTCACTTCTGTTCTTTCCTTATCTAGTGGTAGAAATCAGTTCTAGAGTTCTTGATTTGAGTCTGACATATATTTCAAATCTCTCTCTCTCTCTCTCTCTCTCTCGCTCTAATATATTCATGTATGTGTAGATCACCCATGGGATGGTATCCCTGTTGGCTATGGCCACTGAATCTTGATAAAGGTGTTTATGGTGTCACTGTAACTAAAATTCTTCCTCTTTCGCAGATGTTGACGATGGAGCACGTGCACACTCAGATTTTCATCAAACCAGGTATCAATAATATTAACCTGACCAATCCCTTTCTTTCCTAAATAATAAATTCAGATATCAGCCTTTACGTTTCTTTATTTTCGTCCCACCTTCCACTATATAGCTTCTATTGAAGAATCAATCAAGATTGTGGTGTTCTTCTGTGAAGATATCAGATTTAATTATTTTTGAATTTTACAGGGCTAATCCGATCCACTTTCAGTCAATTCTTGACAGTTTTTTGGAAACTAGTTTTTCAGCAAATGATTTGAACCCTATAAAACCAGCAAGTTTCATATATCCTTAACAGGTATACTTCGTACACGTACATGTATATATCTCACTGTTAGTTGTATGAAAAGTGTGTTGTGGATTAATAGGATAATATATTTTTCAAGATTCAGATGGCTGCGTACTTTCATGGGAATTCGGAACTACAAGGAGGTGGTGATGGGTTACAAACCCTGATTCTGATGAATCCTGGCTACGTTGGATACTCTGACACCCAACAGGCGCCGCCGGGTGGCAGCAACTTCGTGTTTCTCAACTCCAACAACTCTGGGAATTCCCTAAACTTACCCCACGCGCCACCCTCTCAATCCCAACACTTCGTTGGCATCCCCCTCCAAGCCACCACTTCCACCACCGTCACCTCATACCAAGACACTCACCCTCAGCAGGATCTCTCGGCCCTCAACGGCTTTCTTCCTCGCGGTCAGTACAATATGTACAACCCGGCGATGGACCTCACAGATGCGCGTGATATTACACGCGCTCAACAAGGACTCTCTTTAAGCCTCTCTTCCCAGCATCCACCGGGGTTCGGGTCTCCATCCCGACCTCTTGTGACCACCAAGTCATTGGTTCGTGGTGACGACATTAGGGTTTCCGGGGAATCACCTTCCTCGGCTTCTGGGGTTTCCAACAGTGTGACTGGTATGCAAAATGTCCTTACGAGTTCTAAGTATTTGAAGGCAGCACAGGAACTTCTAGAAGAAGTAGTCAATGTTGGCAAAGAAGTTAAGAGTGCTACAGAATCAGGGAAGTCGACCTTCGGACAAGCCAAGAGTGCTGTCGGAGAATCCTCAGCCACTGCAAATAGTATCGGAGAAACCAGTGGAAAACACGTTGCTGAACTCACTACAGCTGAAAGACAGGAAATTCAGATGAAGAAAGCAAAGCTCATCAACATGCTCGATGAGGTAATAATCTTTGTCTCTGGTGGTGGTATTTTTAGCTCGTCAGGGGCCGGTCCTTTAACAGTATAGGGCCATGTTGGTTCCATCTGAACCGGCCCGTCCATTTTTACACCACTAGCACTGTCCAATCTTGTCGCACACTTATGCGAGCATGGTTGGTAAGAATTTAATTACTTTATTTTTTTAATGAATTTAGCAATAAACCTAACATAGTAGAGACAAATAAGTGGCCTAGCCTAAATTTATTAGGACAAATGCTTAGTTAGTTTGTTTTGTGAAGGTGGAGCAGAGGTACAGACAATACCACCACCAGATGCAGGTTGTAATATCTATGTTCGAGCAAGCAGCAGGAATGGGTTCAGCAAAAACGTACACTGCTCTGGCTTTACAGACAATCTCAAAGCAATTCCGGTGCCTAAAAGATGCTATATTAGGCCAAATTCGTTCAGCGAGCAAGAGCCTAGGTGAAGAAGAGAATTTGGGAGGAAAAATTGAGGGTTCCAGACTCAAATATGTCGATAATCAGATTCGACAGCAAAAAGCTCTACAGCAATTGGGAATGATCCATCACAATGCTTGGAGACCCCAGAGAGGATTGCCTGAGCGATCTGTTTCAGTTCTTCGTGCCTGGCTCTTTGAACACTTCCTGCACCCGTAAGTTCTTTTAGAATTTCTTACAGAATCCATTTGTCATATAAATTCGATTTGAAATTTTATAGGTATTTCTTGATTTTTAATGAAATGTTTTTGTCATAATTGGTGTTCAGTTATCCCAAGGATTCAGATAAGCTCATGCTTGCTAAACAGACAGGGCTTACTAGGAGTCAGGTACCTGATAACTCTATAAATTCTTGAGCATTATTGTAGATTTCACCTTACTCTACAAGCCATTATTGTTCAGGTATCTAATTGGTTTATCAATGCTCGAGTTCGACTCTGGAAACCGATGGTTGAGGAGATGTACACGGAAGAGATGAAAGAACACGAAAAAAATGGGTCAGAGGAGAAGACGAGCAAAGGTGGAAAGAATGAAGAATCAACATCAAAATCTAAAGTTGCTCCACAAGAGAATTGTCCTGGAAACGAAAATCAGAACAAGAATTTCATTGCAAAAGAGGATAACCCAATTAACCAGTCAATTTCAACTAGTTCCACGTCTCCAACTGATGAAACTTTCAGGAATAATCAGTCAGGTTTCAACTTAATCGGTACATCAGAAATCGAAAGCATTACTCGAGGAAGTAGAAAGAAACCACGCAGCAGCGTTGTTCCATCAGCAAACATGGATTCAAATTCGACTGAAGCAAACAATGATCAAATGGCAATGAAATTCATCAATGAGGGACAGAGCAGAGATGGATTCACATTAATGGGTGCACCAACGAACTTAATAGGAGGATTCGGTTTGTATCCAATGGGGGAAATCGGAAGGTTCGGGACAGAACAATTCCAGGCTCCATACTCAGGAAATGGTACGGTCTCTCTGACTTTAGGCCTTCCACACTGCGAAAACCTCTCCGGCACACACCAAACTTTCCTTCCAAACCATAGCATAAGAGGAGTCGAAATCCAACAAACAAACGAGTTCAATGGTACGAATACTCCAACATCTGCTCACTCGACTAGCATTTTCGGAAACATCAACACTCAGGACCGCAAGAGGTTTGCGGAACAATTGTTTCCAGACTTTGTGACCTGATGAGTTACTGTTACTGGTTCGTCAGGAAATATACAGACGGACGCGGATTTTTCCACCTCGACCGTAAGGGGATGATAGTATGCTGACAGTGTAGAGAAGGAAAGAAAAAGAAATTACATAGTATAGTAGATGAGGGAGGGAGGGAGGGAGGGAGGGGCATTTGATTTCTTACAAGACAGCTTAGGTCTTTAGAACATATGGTTGAGGTTTGTATATTATTTTTGTCGCTGCAGATCAATAGATGATTGCTATATATTTTGGGTTGGTATAGAAGAATAAATCGCTGTTAAATCCGATATTGAATATTGATTGTGATTGTGTCTGAAATTATGGGATTTATGTATAAATGTTCAGAATTTTCTCAATTTTTATAGCAAAAGATTGACACTTACATCACAAGGTAAATTTATTAGAAATAACACCAACCTTAAATTTATTCCATACAAATATTTTTCTTCTTTATTTTCGTACATAACACTTCATCGAAGATAACTACGTAGTTTTTTTTTCTACTAAATTCAAACTGAGTTTCTTGTAATTTTGTGCTTGAAACCGTGGTTTGACAAGAGGATGCAAACGTTAGTGTGGATTGATTGAGTGCAAGGCATTATACATATTTTTCCGTCAAATCCCAAGACATTCAACTTTGTATATACAATAGAAACAATCAATATACAGATATGGGGGATCAGATGGACGAGACCAACCACTAACAAGTTACATGATCGGACAAGTACAGCTAAACCCAAAAATTAGCATTGAATATTGAGAGAACCGCTACATGTACACCATGCTTGTACAGCATGGTATCAGCCCTTTCACATAGAGGGGGCCAACGAATTTTTTATTCATGGTGGGTCTCCTCACATGTGAGGGGGCTGTACACCATACTATATGACATGGTGTACGACCATCTTTTCCTGAACATTGATGTGTACTACAGATTTAAAAAATTGCATACCGATGAGGCATTTTTCATATGTCGTCAATCCTACGGACTAAAAATACAAATTACATATTTGATATGTTGCATCGAATAATATTGAGCAATGCTTGTGTGTAGTATTATACTATTAGTTCACATCATATCATTAGAGAGGCAGAAAATGCACCAACAGCGTTGGGGAATTCAGTACTCTATTGGGCCTGTCAACCTGCCCAATATTAAGAAAAATTACACAATTGCTTCTATAAAGGGCACAATAACAATTGTAGCACTTTTTTTTTCCCTACAAACTTAAAAAAGACTAAAAGTGTGTTCTTTATATATTTACTTTTATCATATTATGCAATTATGAAATCCACTAAACTTTATCAAATATTCTAACACAAATTATCCTTTTGGGGGTAACGTAACAAGTATGCAAGACCCCCAACGAAGTCAACATAAATTCTGTTCGAATAAAAAATAAAAGACAGTTTCATTATGTTGGTATGCCAGCCGTATGTTCTAGAACTTTCAATTCAACACGAAGCATATAGATCCATAAATAAATTTGTGTGTATAGCCTCTTCAATTCGTGCTCGTCCTTTCTCGAATGTATCCTTTTTTTCTGGGAACATAATTGATCAAAATCATTATGTTCGAGATTCTTCATCCACCAATATAGAAAATGCCCTAGTTTTCCATTTTCATATGTGGTTGAAAAGTTAATTAGCTGGTCAGCACGAAGAGTAATTTGGTAAAAGTAACCTAGAAAAAAGATTTTTCAAAACGAGCAACTAAAGTCAATTTAAGCTAGCGAGTTCGACTGTCTCAAGTCCCACCCTATCCAACTCGATCACAGTACAAATCAATTGGGGTTGAGTAGATATTGTACGAGACAAATAATTTCACCCTACTTAGCATCAATCAGATTCACCTAAATAAACTTTTTTGAAAAAAATAAAGTTATCTTTTCTAAAGGTGCAATCAAATCACATCGATTAATCTTTAAGAAAAGTGCAGTCAATAATACCAATAACACGCGAAGACTTGGAATGACTTTAGCCCTCTGTATGGTGAAGATTAAAATAAAATTTTTAATAAATTTTGATAAAAAATAATAAAATGTGATTGAAAAATTGTGAATTCATAAAATATATAATTAAAATTAATTGTTGACTTTAACTTCTACTAGTCCATGTTTGGTGGGGATTAAAAATCAATTTTTTAGTAGAAATTGATGAAATATGTGGCTGAAATGTTGTGAGACCCATAAAATATGTTGTTAAAATTAATTGTCGAATTTAATTTAAATTAAATCTAGATTTTAATCGATACCAAGTAAGTAGGGGTGAGCAAAATTCGTCCGAACCCACCAAAATCGAACCAACCCCGATCGGGTTGGGTTGATTTTTTTGTTATTTTTACATGAGTTAGGCGTGTTGGTTGAATATGCGGGTTGTGTTGGGTCGGGTTATGTATTAACTCATAAAAATCGAATAAACCCGTTAAACCCATCCCGACTATATTTATGAATTTTACGAGTGTTATAAAGTTATTTGTAAACTCTTAAAATAATACTATAAGACTTGGATAGAATTTACGAAAAATATTATAAGTAAATACACAGTCAACACAAAAAATATTTTAATTGTCAAAAACATTTATTGAGTTCATATAATTTAATATCAATATGTCTATGTAACATTTCCGAGCATGAAGTGTCAAAATAATTCTAATAATTCAGATTTTTTTGTTCATTCCAATTACGTAGGCCAAATATTATATAAGTCATGAGTCAATTATAAATTCGTCCAACTCGACCCGCCTACTTTAATCTCTGTTGACGAGTTATCCCAACTCAATCCGACCAATTCAACCCAATCCAATCCGATCGATACTTGATTGAGTTGGGTAGGATTTCAACCTTTACATGGACTGTGTTGTTTTAAATTATGATTAAACTGATCATATTAGGTTGAGACAAAATCCGATCCAATCCAACCCATGCCCCCACTTTAATATTTGAAAACATCACTACTCAGATGAACTTTAGTTTTGTCAGAAGGTGTTCAATTTTCTACATGGACGTGTGCGCTCAAATATTGTGCATGTGCGCGCGTGTGAGAGAAAGGGAAATGTAAATAAAACGTTTAATTCCTTTTTCTATATTGATTTGGATTGAAGTAGAAAATGAGTTTGACGCCGTGGCCACAAATTGAACAGTGTAAGCAAATCCAAACCACCAACCCAATTCTCTTCCCTCCCCCAAGTGCTAGAAATATAAATTTGATGTATAAAATCAAGTTAATAGAAATATAAATTTCCTGCACTTCAGCCCAGTAAGTCTATTCTAATTTTGTCCAGACGAAATTCTTCCATCCATTCATCTAAGTTACATTATTGTAGTTACATTTCATCATCACATTTCACGTGTATCACAATTAGTTACTTAATTTTGAAAATTGGTACCACATTCATCACTACGTAAACGACACTTGCAACATTGAAAGGATTTGACGATATGTCTAATGGTATGGCTTGCGTGGCACGAATTTGGAAACTATAAATCAGGTTTTTACATAAATCATGTTATAATTAGTTAGAAACTATAATAATGTTTATGAAATTCATATTTTGAAAAACTTTACATTTGGAATAAAGCCACACATTCAACAGTTATTAAAAAAAAAACCCAAATATGTATTGGTCGATTTGTGAATAAAAAAGGTCACATACATGTAGACTCAAATCATTCCAATTTTGCAAGCGTCGTTTACGCAGTAGAACCAATTTGTAAAGTCAAGTGATTAATGAGAATACTTTTTAAGTTCAATGACCATTTAAGGAACTAACCCGCCAACCTTAAGGCATAAATTTTATAAAAGTGGCGTAGTAATCAAAGAAGCAAAATTTCCAATCCAGAGGCTAAAGTCATCGTTGCACCGCCGTCCTTGGCGTAGGAAACTGCCTTAGAAAAGGAGAAATTTAACATATGAAGAGTTGAATTTATTTAGCCCCATATATGGTGAGAATTAAAATAAGATTTTTAATAGATTTTGATTTTAAAAAAATGATGAAATATGTTATTGAAAAATTGTGAATCCATAAAATATATAATTAAATTAATTGTTAATTTTAACTTATACCAAATATAGACTTAATATTTGAAAACATCACTACTTGGATGAACTTAGTTTTGTAGAACGTGTTCAATCTTCTACAAGCACGTGTGCGCTCAAATATTGTGCATGTGCTACTTTATGTGGGTGCGTGTGAGAAAAAGAGAAATGTAAATAGCACTTATATTTCTTTTTTCAATATTGATTTGGATTGAAGAAGAAATGAGTTTGACGCCATAGCCACAAATTGAACAGTGAATTTGGCCGTTGAATTGGCTTTTTGACAACAATAATTCCGTTTGTATAGAATTATTGGCCACAGAAATTGGCCAAAAAACTCACATGAGACCTCATGTCAGTAAAATATTGAAAAAAATAAATCACCCCTTGCTGTGAGTGTCTGGCCATTTTTTGGCCACTCTGCTTCTGTACAAGAAGCATAGCTCTTTTGACAATCTGAAGGACCATTTTTATTTTTAATAGAGTAAATTTAATTTGGAGTCCGTAATCTTAAGGACTTGTGACATTTAGGTCTCCAATCGACCATTTACAAAGTCTTCAACCTCATAAGACATGGTTTAACCATTTAAAAGTAAAAAAAATTGTGTTAAAGGTAATATTATATGCTTATTTATATTAAATAATTCTAAGGAACCCGAAAGCCTATTGACAATTCATGCATAAAATTACTGAACATAAAAGCATAAGGAAACAAACAACTTTACACAAAAGTATCTTACCTCAATTGATCAAACGAGCTTTTGAAAATAAAAATATACTTAGAATTTACAGCTGTTCTCTATATGAAAACTGCTGTGTAAAATTCTGTGTGGTGAATTGTGAAATATGAGCTCACTATTTATAGGGAAAAAGTACAGTAGTTGAGTCATAATATAACTCTAATATAAATCATATTTATTCTAATAGATAAGAGTTTGTTAAAATGGTTGGTTAGAACTAGAATTTTGATAGGTCAATATATATTAAAGATAAACATGGCTAAAATAACACAATATTATCTTCCAAAAAA